AACATTTTCCGGTCTGAATTTCCGAGTAACCTTATAGAAAATATGTCCTCTGGCAGAAGTCGAACCTGTATCCTACACGGAACCGCCATATTTCAAAAACAGTAATTGAACCTTGCTAACCGGGTGCTTCCTCTGTACCTAAATGGTATAGCACGTCAGGCTATATGTCAGTTCCATGTAGTATACAGGTTCGATTCTTGTCGGAGGACACATATTTTCTTTGAGATTTCTCAGATATTCAGGCCGGTAAATGTTAAAATGGTATTAATACTTTTTTATTATAAACAGAGTATTTAAATATTTGTATCTATAAAAATAAACTATATATTGTTTATACGTCATATTTTTTTTATATATATATATATATATATATATATATATATATATATATATATATATATATATATATATATCACAGCTCATCAGTGTGATCTAGAAATTGAAAATACATGTGCAGCAATCCCACTGGACAATTTGGCCAACATTTCCCAAGCAGTAGTTCGTCATACTAATAAATGTCTGGAAGCTAAAGGCCACCATTTTGAACATTTCATTTTTGAGATCAAGACATTTCTTCTGCATTCGTTGTCGTTCTACAAAAGGATGTTGAGAATACCATTGACGGAGCATGTGAATAACAATGAAGTATTATGGAAAAGTGAAGCAAAAACGAATCAAAGGAACAGTTGAAATTCCTAGGACACATAATAAAGAAAGAAGGCTTGAAGAACTTGACACTCAGAGGACACATTGAAGGCAAGATTGACAGAGAAAACCAATGAGTAACTACTCTAATAAGTTGGTGTAAGATAGGTAAACAGTGAGTGGGATGGATAATAAAAAGACAAGTGTCGTTAATATCAGCAAATGATAGGAAATTGTGGAGAGTCATGGTCACATAAAAGATATAAATTTTGTGCCACAAATGGCAGACGTTAAGAAAACATTTAAACTATAATTTACCCTTTATATGTGTATAAGTTTATATATTCCAACACATATATGGAATTTTTCGCGTGCCAGCCTTGAATAGTAAGAAAAGTCGGCATCACGTGATATGAAGGCTCCCAGGGGACAGACAATGTCAACAAATTTCTAAACCCGATTCCTGGCTTGCTAATTTTTTTCATTTTTTGTATTTTTTTCCCGGGAGGGTAACTGCCTCTCTGGATAGATAACCAGCCAGTCTATTTTCAGGGGCAATTTTTAGGCATTACTGTCGAGTGTAAATAATGGGCGTGGTGACAATGATGGCCATGGTGGGGGCTAGAAAATAAATGATTTCAAGGTTTCGGGTGGGGCGTAGGTTACTGGGTATTTTCGTTACAAAGAAAAACAAAATTTACACTTTTACACTGTCTAACAAAAACATGAGGCACAAAATATTTTAAAACAGGCTCACATATAGAATCAGTAGATACTGTTACTTAACATATATATATATATATATATATATATATATATATATATATATATATATATATATATATAATATGAAAAGGAATGAATATTTACGAAATCCTTCCTGGTAAGAAATAGAAAATATTTTACTCCAATTACGCCACTTGTCAACATCTCATTATATATATATATATATATATATATATATATATATATATATATTTAATGAAAATGAACATTGAAGTCAACACTCACAGGCAACAGGCTGTTTCATGCTAGACGCAATTGTCAGGCCTATATATATATATATATATATATATATATATATATATATATATATCGTCTTTTATATACCATGTCTCTTCAAGGCGAGCTATCATGACTCTCCATAATTTAGCACTTAGTAATGTTTGTTTTCTTAATCTATCACATTCCCTGTTTTATCATCAATTTTACTCGCTATTTTACAGTGCCCCTCTTCCTTCAATATATTATATCTTATGAATTCTCCAAGCCCTCTATATATATATATATATATATATATATATATATATATATATATATATATATGATATGAAAATTTCTCCGATTTAATCGGTAGAAGACAATATTATGAATAAAAATGACAATAGGAAAACTGGTAATTGCTGACGCGTTTCGTCCAATGTGGACTTTATCAGAGCAAAATACGAAAATGAAATTAAATGAACAACGTAACTAATAAAAACAAAAACAGAATGTACCTAGCAACTGGAATGTAGAGAAACGCTATTTTCATATTTTTTAAATGAGAAATAACGTCAGAGATTGTCACGTGTGGAGAATATTGTCATTATATCTGTGTTGATGTATTCAACCATTTTCTTTCGATTTTAAGAATCTGTTGTGCATGTTTGTTTGTAAGAGCATTAATTTTGTTAAGAAAGGTGAAATAGGGAAAAAGCCTGGGCGTAAATTGATATTTGGATAATTTTCTATGGCGGCACTCTCCAAAATTTTCCTTCTGAGTGAGTGATTTTCTTTTTTTATGAGTGTAGCATTTTTAAAATATATATATATATATATATAAGAATTCAATTTCATTCGAAGTTCCAAAACA